CACACTGGATGGTGAAGGGTTAGTGGTTTGGGATTGGGTCGGGCTCTATGCACAACTCCATTACTTCCTGGCCTCAAAGCAGCTCTTTTGTTTCCTGTCTTTTATTACTGGATTAACTGATTAATCCAGGTGTGTCTGGCCATGGTTACTGAGGTCAGGCACACCTGGATTAATCAGTTCTTCCAGAAATGAAAGACAAGAAACAAAAGAGCTGTCTTAGAAGTAGTGCATATAGACCATTTGCTATATCCATTCTAAAATTAGTTTTAAATGAGATTTTGACCTGTTTAAATAGACGAAGAACCCTTAATTCCAACAATCCCGCTGTCTGTTAAAGTTCAGATTAATTTCTCAATCCTCTGAGCAGTGGAAGTGTGACCAGCAGGGCCTTCAACATATCCCCACCGTGTTTATCAGAGTTTATTGTCACCAATAAGTCCCTATCTTTTCCGTTTCTTAAAGACTTAAAGCTTTCAATTTATGTTGATGCTAAATTCGTCCAGAGGCATAAGTCATTATGGTTCGCTAGAAGCGCTTTAAACAGTGTAATATCTCTTTTTATTTAAGAGTGACAGACGAGGTAAACTGGTTAAAACTTCGTCACAATTAGATGTTCTCTCAGAAGGATACTAATCCAATATGGTTTTAAGTTGAATAATGCAGGCTTACTTCTATGGAAGAGGATTAGGGCCACTGGGGAAAAAAAGTTAACTGATTTTTAAATGTTATTTCAGTTTAATATGGAAAGTCAGAATTCTGACTTTAATCTCACAATTCTGACTTTTTTTTCTTAGAATTCTGATTTTTTTCTCAGAATTCTGACTTTAATCTCAGAATTTCGACTTTTTTTTCTCAGAATTTTGACTTTTTTCCCATATTAAACTGAAATAAAATTTTAAAATCAGTTAACTTTTTTTATTTTTTCAGTGGCCCAAATCCTCTTCCATAGAAATTCCTCTTCGTTGCAATGCAAATAAATTTGATTTTAGTGTTTTCATCTATTTATTGTTTTTATTGTTACACGTCAGATTTTTGCAATTAGTTCTTAAGTTTAACCCACTGAAAAAGGTCAACTTGCATATTATTAATGTTGATGTTAAAACAACATCCAAACATCATTTGATCACAAAAACAACTTTCACCCTCCGTATGCAATAAACTCTCCACAGTGCCTTCTTCTGTGCCCTCTTAGTTGGGCAAATAATCTGCTTGGCTCCACTGTTCTGCTGGATCTGGTGGAGTATTCATTTATCTTAAAGGACACGTTGATAGTGGAAAAACCCATTTAGTCAAAACCTTAAATACTTCTGTGTCCACTCAGTGCAAAGAGGAGTGCATGGGGGCGGATGCCTGCAGAGAGAAAACAGGATGGAAAGTCTTGAGATGACTGCTCAGTCAGTGAGTGTTTGTGTGTGCGTGTTTGTTCCCTTCAGCCTGATTAAGCTGTTGCATTACAGCTTTCCCCTACCCAGCACTTTGAGCCTCAATCCCATTCACACAGCAGGGATGATCCACTGGTGTGGAGGAGGGTCCAAGTCTCAGGAAGGGGATATAAAGTTTGTTGATTTTATTACGCCATTTCCAAACTATTTTAGATGCCCACTCCTTCTGAACACATTGTTTAAAAATGTTAACTTACATGGATCGTAAAGAGCTACAAATGCACGACTACATTTAAACACCAAAGCAGCAACCAAAACTCCATGAGATTGACTTTCTTCTTCATGCTTTTTTTTTCATCAATTAGCACAAAGCTGGAGCAATAAAGCCTCCAAAACAGTCCATGGCAACTGCATGACATTTGGATCGCTCTAAAAATCTGTGTGAAAGGAAACCGATGCAACCAAAGGTGTCAATTGTCTCATTTTAACCTTTTCCTGCACCAGACCGGCAGCGTGAATGAACCTTTTAATAGGGTTCAGTGACCTTTACAACCCTGAGAGCCGTTTTTGCACCCAATTCATTAAAAAAAGCTGTTAGTTTTTACTTAAATAGCAAGGGTTTCTGTTTCATTTATATTACTTTTTTCCAATGGAGCATTCCATTTTAAGGAAGATATATGTCCGAAAGGTACATGCCAACCAAACCACAAACAAGTTACTTAGACAACTGTTTTCCTTTTGGACAGCTTCCAGAACATTTCCATTCCATAAAGTACAGCAATGATCAAAGGTAAACAGTGTGGAAGAGAAAAAAAATCATGCAAAAATGCATTGATATGGAAGTAGTGGGATGGTTGTGCCTGGTTAGTAGCGTTCCAGAACTGCATCAGGCCACTGCCTGCAGGCGCCGCCATGATATCTGATGGTGCAAGTGTAATTTTAGCTGAAAATGTTATGCATAATAAAGCCTTTGAGATCAAAGTTAAACCTTGCATTTTTCTATTAACTATACATTTTAAGACACTGATCAATTCTTGAGCAGTTTGGGTTATCAAGAGGCTCAGGTAGAAGTCTCTTTAGCTGCCAGGTTCATTCAAATAGAAATCTGATCAACATAAACATTGTAATAATAATAAGAAAAATAAG